TAGAGAGAGAGAGAGAGAGAGAGAGAGAGAGAGAGAGAGAGTTCAGCAGATGTTCAGCACCACGGTCAGCGGATTCATCTCAAACACAATCACAGTCTGTCCAGATGAACCCTGTTCTCATCGACATGAAATACACTTCACAAACATCTTTATAATGCTGAAAAACTGAGCTTCAAGATTTGTGTATGAAACTGAAACATAAATCACCAAATCATGAAGCAGTTTATATGGACAGACGTGAGCTGCTGTTTTTAAGAACAAGAACATGAGTTACTGATGTGATGTCATGTTACAATAATAACACTGTATTGTTATAAAAACAATTATATTTTATGTTGTTCATAGTTATATACAAATACACACAATTTTCATATTGCATATTAGCATATTGAGAAATGTACATAAATTACTTCATCAGGTACAACGACAAACTGAAATGGTCAATCACTAACATGTATTTACTGTGATCCCTTGCTCATGCGAGCTTCAGCACTGTTAAACGGTAGCATAAATGGTGTTCGTAGAATCAGAGGGGTTTGTGGGTAATTGTGGAGTAGCATAGACTGTTTTAGTAGAATCAGAGGGGTTTATGGGTAATCCTGGAGTAGCATAGACAGTTTTAGTAGATTCAGAGGGGTTTATGGGTAATCCTGGAGTAGCATAAACATTGCAAGAATCAGATGGATTTGTGGGTAACTGATTCTTACACTGTTTATGCTACTCAACTGAGGGGTTTGTGGGCAATTTTGGAGTCGAATAAACTGTGGTAATAGAACCAGAAGGGTTTGTGGGTAATTGGGCTGTAGCATAAACTGTTTTAATAGAATCAGAGGGGTTTGTGTGTAATTGGGCCGTAGCATAAACTATTTTAGTAGAATCAGAGGGGTTTGTGGGTAATTGTGGAGTAGCATAGACTGTTTTAGTAGAATCAGAGGGGTTTATGGGTAATCCTGGAGTAGCATAGACAGTTTTAGTAGATTCAGAGGGGTTTGTGGGTACCTGGACAGTTTTGCAGCCAGTGTGAGGTCTGGTGTCTTTAATCTCCTTGTAAATGTACAGCGTTTGAGGAACCTGAGAAGAAAATGAGAAATTAAATATTTTGATGAAGGTCATTCATTCAAACATTGATTCTTATCAAACAATTTGATTTCACAAACCGCTTCACTGTTTTCTGTTCCAGGTTCAGGCATTTTAGAGGCTGAATCAGAGCCTGTAAAAACAAATATACTACATTAAATATAGTAATTGTAGCATTTGGACCAATCAGACACACAACTTTTTGTTA